CTCTCTCTCTCTCTCTCTCTCTCTCTCTCTCTCTCTCTCTCTCTCTCTCTCTCTCTCTCTCTCTCTCTCTCTCTCTCTCTCTCCACCCCCCACCCCCCGTATACTTCTGCACACAGGTCTCGTGATCTCCCTCTGAATGTTGTCACCCACTTTTTCTCTCCCACCTCGCTGTCCTCCAGCTATGGCGCCCCAGTGACCTCAGGTAACGCCTCGCCGGGCACCGCTCATGCATCCGAGATCCGCGCACACTATAACGCAGCAACGCTTCTGCATAAGGCAGAATCGGAGAAGAGGAGGTTCCCAGCGCTGGCCTCCCTTTTGTGCATCTTCACCTGCCTTGATCCTGACTCCTTTGCAAGGCCCTGCCACGGCCGACAAAGCTTCGGCCTGATGCGGGGCCGTTCCTGGGACTGAGCTGCGACTTGACCAGTACTGGACGCATGACAACTCCCTACCTATCGACTACTACCGGCCTTATCATATGGATCATATGGGTACACTGGAAAATGGATCACTATTGTACTGGTCTCTATTTCGGCCTGTACAGTACTTACGAGAAAGTTCTACGTGCGGCCCTATGGTACACTGGAAAACGGGACGCCATACCCAGGCAGCAGTGTGGCCACATGTGAATCCTTTCTAGGATGAGGGGTAAACACAACCCAGGCTAATGAGGGACTCCCATCTAGGGTGTACAGTTCTTTGCGGTCTTTAGCAGCAGAGTGACTGATTTGCTTTGATGTGCGAGTTTTGCCTCTTTCCGAAGCATTTCATGTTATCGACTTGAGTGCAGTGAGTTTTCGTCTGGATGCTATATTGTCCATGTATGCTTGGACTCTGTCTGATCGGCTTTCTCTTGAGTATTACGCTCTACTCATCTGCCTAATGGGAGACTCCAATCGAGAGTGTGGAGTTTGCAGGGTTTAGGGTATAGGGTTTAGGAGGGTTCAGGTTTTAGGAGGGTTAGGTTTGAGGACGTGGAGTTTGTAGGGTTTAGGGCTTAGGGTTTAGGGCTTAGGAGGGTTCAGGTTTTAGGAGAGGTAGGTTTTAGGAGGGTTCAGCTTACGGTTAACACCAATGGGGACATCTAGCACCATCTGTCATCAAGTTCCACCCACGCAGAGTCGGAAAAAAAAAAGAAGGAAAAAAAAAAGAAAGGGAAAAACCTCCATTAAAAAAAAAAAAAACTGGCTGAGCTGGAATGATCTTATCTTATGAACTCGCCTAGCTCAGTTGGTACATCCCCCCTGAACGAACTTTTGAAATACAGACCCGTGTTCGAACTGCAGTGGAAAAAAAAATGAGTAAAATAAATTCAAATAATACACTTCTGAATACCTGATATCCCAAGGCCGCAGCCCTTTTTAAAAAAGAATGCTTTTTCAAAAAGAATGCTTTTTCAAAAAGAATGCTGTTATCTTGATTGGGCATCTCAGTCTTACAACCTTCAATATCCTTCCTTACCGTACTCTTTTTTGAAGTTTTTTCTTGTTAAATAATATTTTAATTAGCATTATTAATAGTATTAATTAATAACCGGAGCATGTGACTTTTCCAGAGGGTGCTTTATTCCCTTTCATCCTAATCCATTAAATTCCATTCATTGATTTGTTTATTTATTTAACAAAGTTAAAAAAAAATTGAGAGTATTCCAAGCAGGGCTACGGCTTGTGGGGACCACCAACCATCTGCTCCCATGCGCTGGCTGATACCCCCCTTCTAGTGGTGGAGGGAGCAGCACTTGCCAGCGACTGGAGGCACTGTCCCTTTTTTTGAACATTTAGCAGGAACTCTCTCTAACGGAGTCTAACCACAAAGTTACACAAACCTTTTTCGTTTTTTTTTTGGGATACAAGTGGACCCGCCGTGGCTCCGCGTGCCATGGAGAGAGAGAGGAGAGGGGGGGGGGGGGGGGGGGGGGGGGGGGGGGGGGGAAGGGGAGGAGGGGGGAGGAGAGACTGAGCTCCAGTGTTGTATGTTTCCAGCAAGTAAAGGTTTACCGAAAAGCTCGAGAGGGCGCTGCATGTTTTCGCAAACAAAATAGAAGGCTTCACAAATGGAAGTTTTACAAACCACAAGTGGACCCGCGAGGAGGGAGGGGCGCAATTGTGGGGGGGGAGCATACAGCCAAGCACACAGCATGCCGAGGCGGCAATCGGCGGGATTACTGCTCCTTGCAATGTCAGCATGCCCGGAAAAAAAGAAGTCACACAGCATGCTGACGTAGCTGTCAGCGGGATGAAATGACAGATTCTCTCTCTCTCTCTCTCTCTCTCTCTCTCTCTCTCTCTCTCTCTCTCTCTCTCTCTCTCTCTCTCTCTCTCTCTCTTCGTCGTCCTCAAACATACTTTTCCCAAAGGGTGCAGAAAACTTCCTCCTTCCTCCTCCCTCCATTCTCCCTGCTTCTCGATTCGTCTCCATCGTGTTCTTCGTCCATTCTCACTCCTCCATCGTCATCATCGACATTCTACCTGAGCGACCCGCCCTCCTCCTTCCTTCTCCCTCTTCCTCCTTCCTTCGCCCTCTGCTGCCTGGCTTCTTCCTCCTTCCTGCTCCATCCATCATCGCTCCTCGTCCATCTATCGTCGTTGGGCCCTCACACTTTTTTTTTTTCTCTATTTTTTTTTTGTGGCGCGTCCTCGCTGCATCGTCCATTCTCCATCCGCCTCTCCCATCCAACTCTTCTGCTCGTTCGTCGATGCTCCCCGCTTGTCAGTCCTCCTCATCCCCTTCTCACACCTTTTTTTTTTTTTGCATGGCCTTTGCTTGCCCCCCCCCTCCCATCCACGTCTCCTGCTCATTTGTCGATCCTTCCCGTTCGTCGTCCATTCATCCTCTTTGCTTCTTGCCTCCCGACGAGGTCGTGTTCATCAGCCCAAGTGGTAAATCCGGATCCGAAGGAGAGAGAGGCAGAATGCACACCCAGTTCAGCCATAGCTGTGCCTACGTCACGATCGCAGTTATCATGCACCTCCCTGCCTCCCTCGCAGAACAACGAATGGAGGTGCACGATAACTGCGATCTAGACGTCGGCACATCTATGGCGGAACTGGGTGTGCAACGAATGGCCAGTTCGCACCTCATGCACGTGGTAGGTAGCGATCTGCACTCGTCAAACACCATCCCGGCGACGCCGCTCGCGGATTCCAGGTTGCACAATGTGAGCGGTTCAAACAACGCCACCGTGCCGGCCAAAACAGGACAGGAGGGCACACTTTTCCCACGCGCTCTCGGCAGCTGCCCACTGCTCCCCGGGACGGGCCGCGCCCCACTGGTACCACCTCCCAAGCATTTTTTTGTTGGGTCCATGCGGTAGCGTTACGTGAGGACCGGTATTGTTTTCTTAGGAGTGTTAAGGAGATAACCTTCCGTTTCCAAATTAGAAATAGGAATCATGAGGCGGGCAATCTTCACAACCACCCCGTAAGTACCGGGGTGATTACAACTAGCTTCAGCTTGTGCTGGAAAACGGGTCCAGCATCCCCTCTTGTGTGTTATCTGGGTCTGGCTAGTTGGGCAATGACGTCTCAAACTCCACCGCCCTTTTTATTGGGGAAAAAAACAAACAGACTCATCGCAGATGAGCGCACAACAATCAGCTGGCGGAAAGGAAAGCGAGACAGGGGCTAGTTGCAGTACTCCCCATCCGCCACAATTTGTGGTGTCCTCCACAATTCGTGGCGGATGGGTGGAGAGTAAAAAAAATGAGAATCGTGTCGAACTGGAGGCCTGGTTGCACTTACTCGCCGCTATATTTCTTTCTACAGAAAAGTTAAAAAAAACTGTCTGCCTGATCTCCACTCGTGAAGCCATGCACTCCTCGCCAAGAAGTTGTTTTGTGGAGAGGTCTGAAGGACCACCCTCCACAAACTGCCGTTGACAGGCGGGGAGAAGTAGAGGAGAGGGTACCTTTTCATTCGTCTTTCGCTTTGTGTTTTTTTGTTTTTGTTTTCCCTTGACAAAACCTTGCCTGCTGCGTCATTGGAAACGAAGTAACGGAAATGTTCTGCCACAAGGAGGCCGAAAGGGACAAAACAGCATCGCGGTGGGAGTTGGTGTTTTTGGTAGCGGTGTGTGGGCTGTGGGGCTATCTGCTCTGAATCGCGAGGAGGTGTGTGGGTTTGCAGGGTCTGCACCTGCAGTTGGGGCCTGCGGGGGCTGGCCCCTGCCGCGCGGGTGGCAGGGCGATATAACAGGGTTAGGTAACAGTTTGGGATGGGTGGAAAAACTAACAATGGTTAGGGTTTGTCCTCTTTTGGACCTGCGTATATAGTCGGAGTATTGGAAGCTGGTATGTCTTTTTCCTCTTTGTCTTTCGGTTTTTTCTTTCTCCTGATTTTTTCTTCGTCATGGGGTCTTGTGGTGTGCGCTGGCCCCGTTTTTGGGCTTGACCGATGATGTCTCGCCCTTAAACTGGACCACGGAATTTTTGTGACGGACGCCAGGTGCTTTTCCTGGCATTTAAAAAAAAAAAAAAGAAGAAGAAGAAGGGACACAGTGTCACACACACACACAAAAAAAAAAGAAAAAAAGAAAGGGGGACACAACTGTTCATTGTCGGACAGATCAAGAGTTCATATCCTGCTGAATGCGGTAATCAATGTTTTACAGTTTTAGAGGATACCCCTCTTTCCCCCCCCCCCCTCTTGTATTAGTTGATTTGATGTTAAAGAGTAGAACAAAGGGCCTTGCCATGTGGCCCACCAGAGCAGAGGAAATGGACCCGAAGTGGTGTGGGCTTGCAAAGCAGCTTTTCTGAGACAAAGGTGCATCTTGCGTCCTCTGCCACACCCCCTGCACAAAATAATATCCAACTGATGAGGTCCCTCGTGAGTTTTGCAATGTTGTCGTGCAGTGCGAAACCCAGTCAGGGGGGCCTTACCAGTGGATCGCAATTTGTGATCCTACCCGAGAACGGCGAGAAGGCTCCATGGAGGAGTCTCAAAACCGGGCACCAGCCTGTTTGCTCTCACAAGCTCACACAAAGGCAACCTTGTGATGTAGCGAGGTTGTGTGGCGAGTCTGGCAATAACAAAAGAATTGAAACTGCCCCTTTCATTGCATTTTGCTATCGCCGTCACCCGTATGCAATTCTTGGTCCTTATCGCTGTGTGTAGACTGAAAGTTGGCCATATTGTCGCCACAATACAGCAACAATGGCTGGGTGTTCTATTGGGGTGAAGACGGTTGCTGTGTGGTGAGGCCCCAAAAAGATGCAGTGCCTAAAGTGTCCACCCGGCCCATGCAACTGGACGGTACATGCCACGTGTGACTGAAGTGATCCTCCGCAGATGGTGAGTTCGAATCCTGACGGAATCAGGCCATTACTCACACAAGCGATTACGGTCCAACCTGGATGCATCTGACTGTAATCAAGTCCAGAAACGAGTCGACAAAGTCCTAGTGTGAGTATGCCCCCACATGTGCATAATAAAAAGGTTAGGGGCTACCCCCACCAAAAGCAACAGACAAAGAAAGCGGAATGGACACGTAGTCACTAACTTGTGCTTGCAGTCGCTTTCTTTTTTTTTTCTTTCCTCTTCTTTTGTTCTTTCTTTCTTTCTTTCTTTCTTTCTTGGGGTAACTAGGGCACAGTCACAATTTCAGCGTAAAATCCACTTCAGGCATCCCTAAAATACAACACATCCCCACCCGACCCTAAAGCTAGGTTGTATACATTCACGATTTTCCTCGCTTTCCCACGGCATTCCCGAAATCGTGACTGAAGCACATTTTCGAACTGAAACCGTGACAGTGCCCTAGTTTTCCCTTCTTTCTTTGTTTCTTTCTTTCCGCAGGTTATGTTTCTTGGGCGTGATGATTCCTTCTTCCTTTCTTTCATTCGTTCGTTCTGCAGGGTGTGCTTCTTGGCCATGATGACTCGAAGGTCGAGGACAGAGACATGCGTGTAACTGTGAGCCATAACTGGTTTGGACCTGGACTTAGACAGAGGATGCCACGTGGACGGTTTGGGATTATCCATGTTTTCAACAATCTGTACTCCAAGTGGGAAATCTATGCACTGGGTGGCAGCGCCGGATTCATGTCGGAGGGTAACTATTTCGACGCGGGTTCGTCCAAAGGCGTCACCAAGCTAATAGGAGTAGGAGATGTGCTCAATACAGCAGTGTTTATGTCCTACGGGGATGCACTCCTGAATGGGGCCAGGTTCGAAAACATGTCGAAAACGGAAAAACGCCCTTTCGATCCTGCGTACCCCTACAAGGTCCTCATGCCAACCCAAGCTATGGCGTCCATGATCGAAAACTCGGCGGGATGGCAAGATGTTCCCTTGCCCAGATAATTGACTATTGTCTTCGCGCGAATGGAACGCCTGGTTATTATCCCCGCATCTAGACAGAAAATTGCCCCAAATGCTGCAGCTATAATGACCCTGCATTCTATTCAAATGAAGACGGATGGTAGAGAACGGCTTCTTTTGCCCCGATCAGGGCTGTATGTAGGATCTCGTCCCATAGTGCATGTCTACGCCAGAACGGGGTCTGATCCTGGCCATGAGGTTCGGGTGCCCTGCATGGTGGGGACCACGTCAACGAGAACACGGGCCAGGTCCAGGTGCATGGTTAGGACCACACTAACCAGGACTAGGTTCACACGCATGGTGGTCCCCACACAGGACCAGGTCCAATGTTGCATCTCCAGGTCCTGCCTGCTTTGATCCTGCCCAACAGGTTTGGGAGCCCAGCATTGTGGAAACCATACCAACGAGGACCACAAACAGGTCCAGTCCAGGTGCACGGTGGGGACCACACCGACCGACCAGGACCAGGTCCAGGTCCAGTTGCATGGTGGTCCCTTCAAGCTCCGTCCAAAAGCCCGCGTGAAGATAACCATTGCACTGTGGAGACCACACCAACCAGGCTATACCTTCGGCGCAAACTGCTTGCTATTCAGTGACTGTTAGCCTAGCGTGGATCTGCACCACATTGCAGACTGCATTCATCTCAAACTGCGCAAATTCAGCATCCAGCTGCAGGACGATGTTTTGCTGCTCTGGACCCTTTTTCCTAGGCCTGTGTGGCTTGTACATCAAGCCCGTTGGGCTCACATCACAACACCCGCAACAGGCGGCCTCCTTTATTGGTTTGGAACGGAATGCGTGTTCATTCGATTGCATCCATTGTTTCGCGGATGAGACTGTGGAGCCCATTGAGGAAGCAGTCACCCTGTTGCTCACTTGGGTGCATCTGGTCCATGCACCTGGTCCTTCAAGTGGTCCAAAACCATCCCAGGGACCGGTTCTGATGATCCTTGTATCTTCAGGTCGCCCCAGATTATCCTTGCCACTGATTCCAGCTGGCCCTCGCTACTGATTCCCGCTGGTCCTTGGGACTGGTTCCAGCTGGTCCTTGGGACTGGTTCCAGCTGGTCCTTGGGACTGCTTCCAAATGGTCCTTGGGACTGGTTCCAGCTGGCCCTCGCTACTGATTCCCGCTGGTCCTTGGGACTGGTTCCAGCTGGTCCTTGGGACTGGTTCCAGCTGGTCCTTGGGACTGGTTCCAAATGGTTGTGGAGGTACTTTCCAAATGGATTGCAGACCGACGAGCAAGTCGGTCTGCGGGCGTTGCACAACAAACAGGTCAGCAGAAGCTGACCTGCTCAATTTCAATTGCTGGGAGTGCTTTCGACCAAACTAAGGAAATGAACGAAAACAAAAATAGGGTATTTTACTATTTTCTGGCGAGGAGGACAAGACAGGACCAACTACGCCTGGACTTTAATCTCTGATGTCTGTTCGTCTTCTTTACGAGTTCCATTGGATGGATATGTCACTCGTTCTCCGTTGCGTGCGGACTTCACTATCTTTGGCTGCTCTTCCTTTGCAGAGATTGCAAAGAACAGTACCCGGTCTTCATACGGGTGAATAGGATAGGAGAGGAGAGGAGAGGATATGCTATCCTTTCGTCCTAAAGAGAAGGACGCGATGAATACGACAGTACGGTGCATTGGATAGGACAGGAGGATACGCTTTCCTATCCTGGAGAGTAGGATATGATCAAAGGATATGACACCGCTGTGAATAGGATAGGATAGGATAGGTCGTGGATAAAATATCCCACAGAACCGGATTCGACCAGGATATGACAATTTGGTGAATAGGATAGGGTACGCTAGGCTATCCTACAGAATAGGATTGGATAGCATATCCTAAAGGGTAAGGATATGACAATGTGGTGAACAGGATAGGAATCATAGGATAGGATAGGATAAGATATGACAATGTGGTGAATAGGATACGATAGCCTCGGATAGGAAATGAGAGTGTGGTGAATAGGATAGAATAGCCTATGACAGAATAGCCTAGGATAGGATAGCATAGGATAGGATAGGATAGGATGGGATAGGATAGGATAGGATAGGATAGGATAGGATAGGATAGGATAGGATATCCTATGCTATGCTATTCACCACACTGTCATATCCTGATCCTTGTTGTGATGTAAATGGGATTTGGATGCCTGGTGCAGGCACAAGCACACACCGAGAACCACACTCTGCACTGTTTCATACTTCGAATGCTGTCAAGTAACGTTGACTACAACATTGGGCAGATACAGTCAATGAATGTTGACTTCCACATTAGGCAAATGAAGTCAATGAAGGTTGACTGATCCACATTGGGCACACACAGTCAGAATGAACATTGACTGCCACATTAGGCAGACCAAGTAGAGGATACCCTCTATCCTTCCAACCATACAGAAGAACGGTCTCAAACTTCAAAGCATATCCTTTTCGCCAACACCCCCCCAGGTTCCTATCATATTAATTTGACAGTGCGGACGACTGATGTATACACGTCAAAGAGAAGAGGAGAGAGAGAGAGAGAGAGAGAGAGAGAGAGAGAGAGAGAGAGAGAGAGAGAGAGAGAGAGAGAGAGAGAGGGTTTGTGTGTTGTGTACGTGTTTGTGTGCACGGTGGTGTGTGTGTGTGTGTGTGTGTGTGTGTGTGTGTGTGTGTGTGTGTGTGTGGACTACGCGTGATGGCAGAAGTTTGTCGGAGTGACTCCCCTGCTCAGCGGGTGGTTGGAACCAACAGTCTGTGGGGTTCACTTTGTGCTGTGAGTAGGTGATGTATTGCTTTGCTCTGTGTTGGATGTGTGGGCTGCCTTGTCTATGCTCCGTGACTTCCTTGTTGCCCCGCGCTTGCTCCCCATATCGCTCTCTGCAGCTGGTGTGTTGCCGTGTAGTATGGCTGTGTTGTTGGTGTTGCCTTGCGCTTTGCTGTGCTGTTGCTTTTGTGCCCATTCGCATGGCTTGTCTTCCTGTGCACTTTGCTGGTGTGCCGTGTGGTTTGACTACTTGGCAGTGTCGCCTTGTGCTTTGCTGTGTTGTGCCCATGTTGCCCGTCCGCTTGTGCTATAAGATGTGAAAACAGTCCTAGCGTGAGTAAGCTCTTCGGCGTGCCGTAATTACAGTCAGATACGTTGCACAAACGTGCTCGTGTAACTATGCTCTAAAGTCTAAACGCATATTCCACTTGCCCAGTCAGGCAAGCAAAAGAACAATCAGGTAATAGGGTGTTGCAGCCGTTGCTCCTTTACACATTACTCGAACTGTATCTATCCTGTTTATTTCTGTCTATACATTCGGAACATTGACACGGGGCGGGGGGGGCATGCGGGTTGATTTTTTTAATACAACATTCTACATGTGTCTGGACAGCCAAGCAAACCACATGCACAAATACACACACAAAGAAAAGGTGCCTAGTGCCGAATCGAACCCGGCTAGGTATGTACTTGTATTAGACTGTGTGGGGAGGGGATACGGACCGAATGTGACGGATTCTCTGGAATGCGAACAACGAAAAACGGGGTGTGGACGGGAAAGAACAAACATCGCGTAGGACGAAAACGCGCTGCCAATCAGAAAAAACGCAACAGAAAAAGGAAAAAGTACACCGCGGTGAAACAACAACAACAACAACAACAACAACAACAACAACAACAACAACAACAACAACAACAACAACAACACAAAACAGGAACGGTCCCATGCTGCCAATCAGAAACACTGTGGCAATAAAAAAAAAACTAAGAACAGGCCCCCGGGCTGCCTATCAGAAACAGAGCAACCAGAAAAAAGAAGTTGAAGAACGGCCCTCTGCTGGGATGCCGCCTTGCCCTGCGCGCTTCCACGTGCCAACAGGGTTTTCTAGCCCCGGAGCGGGCCATCGTGCAAGGACCCCGTTGGGTTACGCTTCAGGAGCATTAGAGATAATAATTTGATTATTGGAATGTAAATTCTGAACTTCAAATTTTAAACCTTCATGGGTTCCAAAGGCTGCTACCTTTTCATATGAGTCAGTTCCACAGATGTTGACATTCCCTACAAGGCCTTCGGAGAAAATGAACTGAACCGGTGGGGGGGGCCTTCGATCGTAAAGATTGTAAATCACTGGAGGGCCCTTTGATCATCATTTTTCCAATGCAGATTTCTGCTGTGCGCCAATGAAAAATTAACCGGGATGGGTGTGTTTTTCGTTGTTTTTTTTGCCTGGCACCCCAAACCATTTCAATCGGGTAGGCCAAGCCCTGAAAAACACAGCGCATCCACTGCCACATCGGAACAAAATGGCTGGGTATTTGGGAAAAGTACTGGTGAGTCTGGTGGCTTAAATTATGGCTTCTCAAAATGGACTACGAATGAAAATATTTGCCAGACTGGCATAAGACATAACACATCTGATTATTATGATTGTGATTTCCTAGGCTGTTTTTCCGGGCGCCCGAGCACCCAATTTCTGCCCGGTTACACGCCCGGGTGCCCGGTCGGGCATGACCCCCGGGCAGGGTTCCGGGCAGCCCCAGCGCAAAAAAAAAAAA